GAACTCGATTGACGTCTACGTCAAGGTCAGAGCACGCCGCAGACACTGCCTCAACTGGCCAACGCTTTACAAGCAGAATGGCTCAGAATTCCGCAGGACAGAATTCGTACACTTATCCAGTGACTGTGCAGAGTCGTGATTGCTGCCCGGGGCGGTCACACGAGATACACACGAGAGTTCAGCGCAACCTTATGTGACATGACAATGAACAGTTTTCAATGCCTTTGTACAACGACAACCTGTGACTATCGAGCTACAAACTTTCATATTTGTATCTATGTAATTAAATTAAATATATTGACTTTATTAAGTAAAATAAATGTATTACAAATCTACCTGTGCGTTCCTTTTTTTGAAGAGTGTATATCCCTCTATTAAAATTTAGAACTTGTAATCACATATTTCAGGTAGAGACCGGTAATGGAACAAAACTCACTTGAGAAGAATGAACTTGAGGACTATGTACTTCCCCTGTAGAAGCTGATGAATATTATTGTTTATTTACATGTGACCTTTTTGCTCTCTAAAGATCTCTCCACATTCCCCAATAGGTATTAATTGTAAAGACTATTTTCCACCGGCATCATATTTACCTCTATACTCATGAATGAGTTCTAAAAGCCTTCACCCTGATGTAATTTATACATGCAATGTATGTAAACAAAGTCGTAAATTGTTCCATGTATATTTATCTAATGTTAAATATATATTGTACTCTTGTACCACCGTGGGTGGTTTTGAGTAAATAAATGAATCTGAATCTGAATCTGGTAGCCATACAGTTGATGGTATCCTGCCTGATGCGTTACCCTGAAGTGCGCCCAGTGTCGGTCTCTCTGCCCTTGACCGCGCAGGACTCGTATCCCCGTTATTTTGGTGTCACCCGATATTTCGAGAAAACTGGTATTACATGTCCTGAAGATCCAGTTTGTTGAATATATGCGTTTGAAAACATTTCGCCCGAGGCCATATTTGTTTCCTGATCTGATCTGGCATCACAGGCTGACAAGGGCAATGAGTCTCCTTGTAATCTAAGCGTTCGAAATGCATCACATGTGAAAGACTATTTCGCATTATCTAGGTTACTGCAATAGTGATAATGATTTTGTTTGAGTACAACCTGAGCATAACCTGACATTTCAAATCACATAATATAATTGTCTCGCTGACATAAACAGTGAAGTCAGCGGATTAAGGTTGTGTTTAAGTAACGCCTGTATTTATAACTGTATAAAATGGAAAGCGGAAAGTCCTTTTCCTTCTGATTAAGTTGCATATCCGTTGTTCTACACAGAGTGTAATATTGTGCACACTCCATTCAACCATTGCACGTCTGTTCTGGGATGGAAGAATGAGTTAACATGCTGCTAGCTATTTGAATTTCACGTTTAATGTCCGACAAATCGTTTGTTCATCCTTTTCACAAGATTGAAACATTCCTGACAAAGCAGATAAACTTTGATCACTAATCGAATGGAAGCGTGAGCATTTCATTGTGACGTGGATGCATGGAAGTCACACATCACACGGAAAAGGTCGATATTCTCTAAAACTGAAGGTTATATTTCGTTCACAAGAAGAGGGGATGTCTTTGTTCCTGGAAAGATGAAAGGGGATGATGACACATGGTTCGTGTGTCTTCATTTTGTATATATTTCCTTTTGTGATTTGTGCAGAAGGGACCTTTAAATTTTTTTGAATGTCATTAAGTGCCCGCATGATTTCTTCCTGCAATGATTGTGTTTCAGAAGTCCAGGAAATTGTGCTAAGCGCGCTGCGAAGTATGTTATGTTTACACACACGAAACAAACGTTCCAGTTAATGCATGGTATTCTGCTTTTACATTAGACAGAACGGACTTTAAATTGGAACATTTGTTCATGTCACTTCTGGTTTGTCTGGTCGATATTCGATTGTCTAAATTATATTGCTACAATATAATGCTGTGCGGGGAAATGCATGCAAACAATCCCAGATGTACAATGTCCACATGGATACCATTTAGGACGTCCCCCGCAGTGTAAGCGACGTAAAACAATATTCATTCATTCTCTATTTTTGAAGAGCTCCTGACCAGCAAATTAGGAGCTTGGAGCCTATCATTATATCAACATATTTGTATCTAGCACCTAAACGCAATGTCAAATATGTAGATGTAGATTTGCTGTAAATACGTGCAAAATATAAAGTCATCTAAATGTGTTGTTTTGTTTGTATATAGGTAGCGTGAAGAGACCAATCATCCCATTAGGGTGTTCGGGTTAATAATGTACCTTAGCGTCCATTGCGAGCGTGGAAATCTCCACACTACTTATGACAAGAGGACTGACTTCCAAACTTTCCAAAAGTCATCTTCCTCTTTATGTCGAGAAACATTTGGTGTTCACTTCCGACAACTTTTGAGGTACAATCAACCATGCTCTTTCACAGAGCGTCATATGACTCTTGCTGAAACGTTGCTCAATGTTACGACAATAAAGTGCTCAGTAAAGCACTCAAAATGATTTATGGTGAAAATATGGAAGACATTTCCAAACTTGACGCATCATGATCAGTGACAAAGAATATGTTTGAAGGAGTTTTGAGTGAGTGAGTGAGTGAGTGTGGTTTTACGCCGCTTTTAGCAATATTCCAGCAATATCACGGCGGGGGACACCAGAAATGGGCTTCCAGATTGTACCCATGTCGGGAATCGAACCCGGGTCTTCGGCGTGACGAGCGAACGTTTTAACCACTAGGCTACCCGACCGCCCCGAAGGAGTTTTGAAATGTACCATGCGTTGTTTTTTCTTCAGCTGAACAATTGACTTGCCTTTGCATGTATTTGTGAGGGTGTATACGCTGAACCATTTCACGAACACCTGGTGCCATCACTCTTTGACAGTGATTCATCCACATGCCCATGATTTAGCCGGAATTGTAAGTCGAGATTTCTTATGAATATGAAAAGGGTTTCGTCGTTCTAATTTAAATGAGCAGTTTTAAGTGCCATTAACGATCGATTGTTGGTGAATAAAAGCGTGAAGTGTATTTTCCAAAAGTCAAACTAAATTTTAAGTTGAAGGTTTTATTATTAAAATGGATAGTTATGGTGGTTAAAATCTCATTTACTTGTCACATTGCATTGCCATTAAAGTACGTAGATAAATATATATATTTCGTCATCAGGTTATAAGTACAAGGATTTGGATACTATGGCCTCGTGAGCAATTATGCCTCCAAGATTTGGCCCACAAACCTGGCAAAGCAAATCCAAATTTCGTTTTCTTATGGTATGATCACTCAGTAAGATCTCGATTGAATGGAAATACACGTAAATATACGCTACAAAATCCTTTCCATAATCACCAAAAAAACTCTGTAAAAAGCTGATTGTATTGTACGATTCCGACCGTGTCACCAGCCATGAATCACCATCAAACAGCGATTATTTCAATTGTTTCGAAAAGAGGCCTTAAATGCTGTACCCCTGATCCAACAAATTTAGAGCGACATTCGTATGACGCTCTTTGGAAACTTAATAGAAAGAGCGTGCTCAATTATACCTCAAATGTTGTGAAATGTTGACACGAAAGACTAGAGCTTTTGGAATATTGCTCGACAAAAAGGGAAAGTTAACTATTGGAAATTTAAAGTCATGCATCTACACTTAAACCCATTTTAATTCTCGGATAACATAAGATAATTTCAAATATGTTTGATTCTTGTTAGGTTTCCACCATTTCATCAGCCGGAAGTAAAATGCACAAAACCTACAATTCAAGCATCCTTTGGATTAAACGCCGCTTTGAAAATTATAACGTTATATCACGGCGTGTCAGCCCGAAATAATACATGACTTGGACGTTTACCATTTTAGATAAACCCTTGAGCATTCCCAGAATCACAGTCAGGGCAATTTGAGATTCGAATGGACGTTGGTACGAATATGTCAACCCACAGACACTCTGCGCAGATATGTGTGGTGTGTCAGACGGCCCGTGCTCTCTCTCTTTATTGCAATAATAGATGGAATTACAAATGAACGTTCCACGGCTCATGTCATGATGGAGACTTTGGAAAGGTAACCGATGTGACATGGCAGTGCCACGACTGAATTATTTAGACCAGATATGGACACCAGACCAGACACCGAAACACCAAATTCAAACACTGCACAAATCGATCCATGTACGAACGAGACTACATTGGGTGATGTTGAGTGTGTCTGCATATTTAATAGGTAACATGTAAAGTTATGTTTGTAATCTGTTCCATGTTTATGTACAATGCAGAGCTCGGATTGAATATCATAAAAAATAGTATTTTAATTAGTTTCAGTACGATAATGCATCAATGCTGTTGAGGTAAGCGCCAATCAGATTCCTCACGGGAGTCTTGTCTCGGAATGGAGCTGGAGTAGTATAATGGCTAAAGCTTTTCGCCGAAGGCCCGGTTCGATTCTCCATATGGGTACAATATGTTAAGTCCATTTCCGGTGTACCCTGCCGTGGTATTGCTGGAATACTGTTAAAGGCGTAAAACTATATTCACTCACTCACTCTTGTCTATCTTGTCCTAACAACATTTTTTGTTCATTCAAACAATTGTGTATGTGCTGTTTTATTCATAAATATATTTTGTAATTATATACATGTTTGTTAGTATATGAAAGTAACCACGTATTCTACGTGTACATATTAGGTACTAAATTGAACTTTTTTGTTTGTTGTTTATCGCCGCACTCAGCAATACTGTGGCCATATGCCGGCGGTCTGTAAATAATCGAGTCTGGGCCAGACAATACAGAGATTGACAATCCAGTACCTCAGTCCACGCAATCGAGATACGATGACAATCAGTCAACCAAGCCTGACCACCAGATCCATTTAGTCGCCGCTTACGACACGACAAGAATAGGTTGCTGGGGACTATGACTAGAACAGTGACACGGAGTTTAGTCGTAAGCTATGGGCAGACGGAACAACACCCGATTTACAAAAAACAAACAAATACAAATATCCTCCGAAGCAACCATATAATTTTTCAAATACAGCATCCTCCACGTTATGAATTAGTTGACATGAATATTGACAGGTAGCATACTTCCATGAGTCAATATCATCAAGCACGTGTTTTATTTGAATCAGGTACAGTTAATATCTTATGACTACCCGTGTGTCCATGGTGAATATATGAGCTTATATCCTTCGGAATAATTATGCCTACCACGATCCTAATTGGAATCGTGCCAGAGAAAAACTATTATTGAAAACGAGTACATCACGATTAGTGAGAACGTCTAAGATTGGACGACACAGCTGAATGTGATCAGTATTCTGTCTTTGTGTTTTCGCCGTTCCGTAATACGACTTTATCATGCAATACTAACAAAATGTATACATTAATTCTATCATAAACGTCTTAAAAAAACTCATAAACTCAGCACCATTAATCAGATATCGTGACAGATTAATTATTAATCGCTTAATATAATATGACACGATTCATAATCCTTTGTATTGAATATAACAGGGATTAAACCACAATAAATGTAGACAGTAGATATAATTTTAAGATTTGACGCTGTATGCATACAATTTTCAAATGGACTTTGTTCTAACATTTTAAGCTTTTGGGTATTTTATCGCACAAAACTTCATTTTTTTTGTTTTCAGATCAAACTGTGAATGCTTCAGGTATTCTGTTTATGTTTATAATTTGGTGGATAGTCGCTTGCCAGTACAGAAACGAAATACAATATTTACACCGCCCTTCTATGCGTCATTCACTTCAACGGATAAATTACTTCTTGTGATTCAAGTTTAGAAGACACAAATAAGGTTTTAATGCCGCATTTTGGTTAAACATTTCACATGAAAAATAATATGAGGTTGAAGACAGAGTAGAGGAATGCACACATGTTGGATTACAGAAAGGTTCATCGTGTTGGTTCAGCAGTCAGCCGAAGAAGTTTGCAAGATCCGTTCACAAATCCCTTGTGTATGGAATTGGTTTCAATGGCTTTTGTAAAATGTTGCTAAAAGTCTGATATTGTTTTGTCTAGTCCAAGAAACAGGAACGCACGCCATTTCCACGCCACTTCTCTCCACTAAAACCTTGCCCGGTATTGACATAAGGTCATGTTGTAGTCCTTGGTTTAGGAGGTTTATTACAAAATAAATATTTATGTCACTCTCGCCTCGCTGTCCGCACACGAGCATCGACGGCCTTCAATGACCTCATGCGATGTCTTCAAAATACGCCGAGAGGTCCATTGGTGCCGAATCGTACCAGCTGAAACAACAAAAGAAAAGACATGAACTTTAATCAAAATACCCATTGACATATCGATTGAATCCTTTTCTGCTGGTGGCAAAAAACTATATATTTTTAACTGTGCATAAAACTGTTTTGATCAAGTTAATCACTATTTGACAGTGATTCTTGAATCGTGGAAGGGACTCTATGATTTAGCAGAGGTTTCTTATTATGGATTTATTATTATTATTAATAGTTTTGACGCTCTTAGTTATCCGTCACATTATAAACTGCTTCATGTTCAGGAGGTGTATCAGAATCATTGATAAAATATCATACTTGCCCATGTGATCTATGATCAACAAGTTTATATCAATGCAACACATCTGTCTGTAATTACAGGTACATGTACTGAAAGGTATACAATCGCCCCTATGGTGAAAATAATGCACGAATGTATTATAAGAAAGGACGAGTTTTACAGGCATGTCGGATAATGGAATATTGTTTGCGATGACAAGCGTAGTTGTTTACCAGTAATATGACGGCTGTCTGTAAATGATCAAGTTTGGACAAGACAACCCAGTGATTGACATCAAGGATATACGCAATTTGGTTACTTTGACATGCATCAACCAAGTCAGTGAGCCTGACCACCCGATCCCTTTAGTCGCCTCTTCACTTAGTATCACGGTATCGCTAAATGGATCGTTCAAGGTAGCTGCAAACAGTTTGTCGGGAACATATATTTGTGTGTTCTGGAATTACAGAGTTAAGGGTTAAATTGGTAGAGCACTTAAATGGTTTGGGTATTCCTCCGTATATTTAGGAGATAAACATACTGTGTTTTCATTGTAGAGCTAGGTTACCTGTAGATTTAACCGCTCTAAATTGAATTTGGAACGGAACGCGCGCGGTTAAATTTACAGGTAACCTTACTTTACATTAAAAACACGGTATGTTTATCTCCATTCGACCATGACTAAATAAAACGCGAACTCTTTGGTGTTAGCAAATATACTGAGTGAAGCGGCATGAGTGAGTCCAGTGTTTTGAGTGAGTTATCGATCTGAATTACGGAATCACCGAACAAAATAAGGCGATGTATATACTCAAGCAGTTTGTTTACATTGTAATACTTCACTCGAACATATGACAGGCATTGACAGCATATAAGCACGGCAACTTTGTAAGCTAACATGAGGTGGGCATCCCTAAAGAAAACAAAGCAAGCTTTGCAAGGCTTTCGCTCTACATCTACACTATTATGACGTCATATCGCTCATTCTGACGCAAAAGATATGACGTCACAGCCGTTTGTAGAAAAGCCCCAAATTCCAAGCTCTCTGTTGTCTCCAAACCGTTAACACATTCCCTTTGTAGATTTCTATCGTGTTTTCTGCACGAAATGTATTGCCACACATCCTTTGAATATTGTAGTAACGGCATCTGCGCATTTTGTAACCTGTAATTGTAGAATAATGATATAATTATTTAAATATGCCTACCGACAATGACTGAAAATAGTACTATTCTATGAATATTAGCTTCCGCGGTGACGCAGCCGTCAAACCAGCTGTTTCAATCAGAGGGGTTTATTGTGATTTAATAGCCTCTGATTGGCCAATCAGAATCGAGTAAATTTCAAATTCACAGTAGAATTATAAGTAGAACACATGCAAATTGCTAAGACTCTTTACGGATTCTGACAATAGACATGTTGTCAAATGGCACTGATAAATAAATTATTATAAATGTGCAGTAACGTAACCACCAATGACGTCACGGGGTACGCAGAAAAAAAATTAATTACGCCGATTTTGAGATCTCATGTACTACCAAGACATTGCAATAAAAGATGTTTTTCATTTACAAAATAAATACAAATATTAAGTTCATGAAGATTTTCACATGATAACTTGAAATAGAGCAAAACATGCAAGGGGATCTAAATATATATTAATTATTTTGAAAACAGTAGATATGTAGAAATTGAAATGTTCATTGATGGCGCCACGACAAGTGAATGTGTCAACTTGTTCAGATCACGGCTTTTGTTGACAAGAAAAACATAAGAATTATGTTTCATTGGTTACTTTTATCTAAGACTGGAGCTAAGTTCTTGCATAAGATGTTTTAAAAACTAAAATGCGAACTCTAAAAGATTAGGCAGGATATTGGGTGACTTGGCATTGGTTAAGCCAAACGTTTTAAGTGGGTACTCGATCTTAATTAATGAAACACCGGTGACAACATATGGCACATAAGGATATGATGCGCGCGAATACCTTCCATCATTATTATTTGAAAGTGATTCGTAAACAAATGTTTATGATTTCGTCGGAATCACACAATGGACTCTGCCCCGCCGATGACGTTAGACATTAAACTTAGTTATTACACAGTATCATCATGACAACAGTACTTCGATAGGTTGTAACGTCATCAACAATTTAGACGTCAACGTTTACAATGACGTCATAAAATCAAGAATTATCCGAAATGCTTATCGTAGAAATACATTTTTTTTCTCCAACTTGAATCATATGGATAGTGATATTTAATACCTACTTCATCATTAGCTAATATATGGAATACAAATTCCGTTCTATTCTACGGATATGGCAATTTTGGAATGAATATAATAAGATTTAAACGTGCAGAATATCCCATGATCTTCCAAAGAGCGTGGCAGAATATCCCATGATCTTCCAAAGAGCGTGGCTATGTCATTATATACTTGGGAAGTCAAAATGAAACATGTGACATAAGTTTGTAGTATCCATTATCCATCAGTGATATTGTTGATTGGTTGGTTGGTTGTTAAACGCCGCACTCAGCAATATTCCAGCTTTATGACGACGGTCTGTAAATAATAGAGTCTGAACCAGACAATCAAGTGATTAATATCATGAGCATTGATCCACGCAATTTGGTATCGAGGGCATGCATCAACCAAGTCAGCGAGCCTAACCACCCGATCCCGTTAGTCGCCTCTTACGACAAGCATAGTCACCTTTTACGGTAAGCATGGGTTGCTGAAGACCTATTCTACCCCGGATATAATCAGGTAGTGGAATGCCACTGAGGCATCGGTACTCCTGCGGGATGCCACAAAGAACCCGTCCTAGACCACGTGTATCTCGTTTACGGCAATCACAGTCACTCAAGCGGATATTGAAGCAAGCTTAATTATGTTTATTTCAGGAACAGCTAATCACCCTAACCTTTATCACCAAAGAAATGTTAGTGCGGATCTAAAAACACATAATTTAAAGGATTCGAAGCCGGAAGGCTTTTGTCTGTTGTTCTTCTCGTTTACCGTGGGTTTAAGTTAATAAATACTGTGTTCATAAAATGTAGTTAATTTAATCATGTCTGAGAGAAATAATTTACTTAGGTTTACTTTTGTCTGCTAACTATCCAGTTGATGTGGTGCTATGGGAAACATGATGATCCATTGGTTGATGATGTCATTGCATTCATATGTTTCAAATGTCGGCATAGAACATCTTAACAACACTATATATATAGTAGGTATCTCCATGGGTTTAACTAATCCCCTCACCAATCTGATCTCTTTCTCTCTGCATACCTTAATTAAGTCAAAGAAAGAACGCTTTACCAAATGGTTAAACACGCTATGTGCCAAGATAAATGAGTAGCGTCACCCCAACTATCCACCACAGTTAGAAATCAAAGAAACATTTACATATGGTAACCAGTGTCTTATCTGGATCTATGTAGAGGCATTCAAAAGGATGACGGCCTCTAGATCTGTACCAAGGTGTACAACAAGCGTGAAGTTCCAGTTCATGTTGAGCAATCTACCCTTATCTTAGGTACTTTTGAGCATGTAATTTGTTTTCGATTTTAACGGAAACCGTGTCCATGCCCACAAGAAATCTCTGCTTGAAACAGAGTTGATTATACGATTCCGACTTCATCACGAGTATATGTGTTTATGAAGCACTATCAAATTGTGATAATATTGTTATGTGTTCGCGAACAGGTGAGTGTATCCTTCCCCAATGGTGGCACCCGCCACAAACACATGCAAAGGCACGTCAATTGTTTTCCTGAAGAAACACGGGAACAGGATTATGGATCAAAACTAGGGCATTGCACCGGACATTAGTTTTGTCATTCAAAGTTGGAATATCCTCCATGTGTCTACCATATTAAACTGTTTTACTGATGATTGAATGTTGCAACCTTTGCGCAAGAGTCGTGTAACGCTCTTTGAAATCTGGGAAGAAAGAACATGACACATTTGACTTACAAATAAGGCTTTCAATCAAGATGTCACCATCAAAGGACTGGATTCGTCATTGCAAAAATACTATGGTAAACTGAGTAATGAGACACGTCGACAATATGAGCTTAACAGGGAGGATTCGCATCTCCTTACCCACTGTATGTCACTCAATGTGTCAGTTGCAGCTGCTACCGGCGGAGCAGGATACGCTTACTCTTGGCGTGAACACCCGGTGGCATCACTGATTTTCAGTGACCCATTCACATAAGTGTTATCACTATAATGCCCAATAAATTTACGTTTTGAATGCATGTCTGTTGTGCAGGTCTTTGAGTATTGCGGGAATGTAGTGTAACTAAAACTTCGGGAAAAATTTGATTTAAAATTAATTAACATTATGATATTTTACTCCAGGCTTACAGCGTTAGTTTCAACTGCAAATTCCATGGATTGAATTATCAATATCATCTGATAATTTGAAAACGGTTACAGTTTTATCATCTATATATACGTTCGACACATTGTCTCATAGGTTTTCGAGTGTATATTGGTATTAAGTACGAGCTGAATTCCCACCTCCTATATCCGATGATTGCCATGTGGGATTTTTTTCTCAAACCGACAGCCATATTTCTAATACACTTGTCAGGAACATCTAGTTTAGAAATGTATTTGTACGCACAATAACAACAAAGCACAAAGCCACATTTAAGATGGAAAGTGAGTTGAATAAATAAATTAACAAAAAAAAACAATTATAGGAAATTGTATCGATAAA